AGCATTGCAACACAGCAACCATGAAACGACCACGCTCACGAGCAGCCACCCAGCAACCCCCTTTCCATTGCCCGGCTGGAGAGGGGGGTTGTGTGAGCGGCTGTTCAGCTCTCACTCACGTGCCTCCCAGCCTCACGATGCCCTGGCCCAGCTCTCTCCGCCGAGCCAGGGCACCTCCGCTGCCACTGCCGGTGGCAGCAGCGGAGGTACCCTGGCTCTGCAGAGAGAGCTGGGCCAGGGCATTGTGAGGTTGGGAGACACATGAGCGAGAGCTGAACAGCCGCTCACACAACCCCCCTCTCCAGCCGGGCAATGGAAAGGGGGTTGCTGGGTGGCTGCTCGTGAGCGTGGTCGTTTCATGGTTGCTGTATTGCAATGCTGCCATGAGGCCATGAGGCTATGCCCGGCTATTTGGGAGCCCCTTCAGAAGAGAGCAGCTGCCCAGCAACCCCAAAACAATAAACCCTCCCCTCATAATAAGGCCTAAGCCATATTTTGTGAGTAAAAATAAGACCCTGCCTTATTTTTGGGAAACACGGTAATGATTACTCCAAGAGCAATCACAAGCTCAGAAGGAATGAAACCCTGTCAAGAATGGACAACCTCTTTAATTTCATAGTACCTTTGTCTTGTTTTCATTCAGCACCAGCTTACTGGCTCTCACTCAACCTACCAGTGCATCCAGATGCTGATCAAATGTGTTTACATAATCAAGAGAAGCAGAGCTGGGCATCCTCATGATAACTCACTCCAAATCTCAAAAAAAGATGTTGATCTTGGCCAACTATTTCATACAGATATTAAATATTATTAAGAATAAAATGTGACCACACAGAAATTTACAGTTTAATTGTCCTGTGGCTGTAAATATAATCATCCAATATTATCTTCATATTGAATAATTTTGTTGAAAGAACTAGGCAAGAGCAAAAATAAATGAACTCTACAATCAGAGAAGACAAATGCTAGAACAATATTATCCTTGAAACATGACTTTATAGGTACAAATGGTACATTGTGACCTGAGTTCACAATCTACATAGCTATTCTAAAAGAATGTCATAATAATCACTGAGGTTGAGGAAAATCAGTAAGAATGGCAGACATTACAGGTCAAGATGGCAAAGACTGATTCAGCTCCACAACCAGCCTGCATGCTAAGGTTGCTGGTTATGTTATTTGTACAAGACACTTGTCCTCTCCCATAGCAAGCATGGAAACCCAGTTGATCTTACTATTAGCAGTTAGTAATGGAAATTACAGATCAGTATCTTATGTGTGCTTATTTAGAGGACAATTCAAACTAGAAAAATAATTCCAAAAGCAAGATAACTGATAGCTTCTGATAAAGCATTTTGAAATAGATCATCAGTACCAACAGACAAGAACATATCAATTTCATAACTCATTTTGGTTATAGCACATTCCTATTTTAAAAAGCATTCTAGATTACATGTTCCCTTAGCAACTCATGCAATACTTTGACTACTCAGACCCTCTCACTTCATAACATAGGTGACTTTTGTTTCCCGTTATTTGTAAATGGAGTCTAAACAATATTATCTGTAGTGAATATTTTTGCAAATGTACATATTGTCTTTTGGTAGATTTTTTTGTTATATTCCTATTTATTTGAACTTTTAACCATGCATAATTTATTTTTATTTATTGCCTCTGTTCTTATATTTTAATATTGATTTTATTACTTTATTGCTTGTGTTACCTAAAGAATATGTGTTGTTAAGTAGTCTACCATATTTTTCAGAGTATAAGATGCACCAAAGTATAAGACGCACCAAGGTTTTGAAAAGGCAAATTTTAAAAAAAGTTTTTGCACTCTGCAAACCTCCCCAAAACGGCCCCTTTTTTGTGAAAATGGGCCCATCCCCCCCCCCAAAGGCATGAATAGCCTTTAGGGGGCTAGGAGAGTGCTGCGGGAGTGGAGGTGGGGAAAACAAGCAAAAAACGGCCCGTTTTTTGTATTTAAAAAAAAAGGCATGGATAGCCTTTAGGAAGCTTATAGAGTTCTCCTGGGGGCTGGGGTAAAATTGAGCAAAACCGGGCCATTTTTTGCTCATTTCTGCCCTCCCCAGCCCCCAGGAGCTCTCTAAAAGCTTCCTAGAGGCTCTGGACGGCCATTTTGGTGAAGGGGAGGGGTTTTGGGAGGCAAAAAATGCTGTATTCAGTGTATAAGATGCACCCAGATTTTCAGCCTCTTTTTTGAGGGAAAAAGGTGCATCTCATATTCCAAAAAATATGGTATATAAAAATTAAAACATTCAGGTATACTTATGTCCTAATTTAAATCCTGAGATGGAGTGAGTAAGATAATACCCTGATATCAAGCTCAATTTTCCTATTCTTTTTAGACATACATTTAGGGATCAACTGTGATAATTCCGCATCTCCCAGAATCCATAATTTATTAAGTAATTTTTAATTGCCAGGTTTTATTTCAATTCCTGAAGTAGGAGGCCAAACACCAAATCTACACAGAGTTTAGCTCTCAACTGGTGGTCTGGAAGCTCTACTTATAAAAGTCTCTATTAATATCACTAGAGAATCAATAGCTAAGTGGAAAAGCTTTTTGGAAAAGCAGACCACACAACATGTGCCTTTTTTCTGAAGAATCTCTGAATGTTTTAAAATATCAGCTAACCAAATAAACCGTACATATGATAGATGAATAGATACATGGAAAGTAGATGGAAATAGTGAAACTTATGTTATAAATAATGTAAGTTTCACTGATTTCTAGCTCATATATTGAGTAGACATGATGTATTCTAATTGCAGTACACTAGAGGAATGGAAAACTAAGCAAAAAATAAAAATATAAGAACTGGTTAAAAAGCTTTTAAAGTATAACTGGTTACCTTGTCTTACCTGAGCAAAATATAGTTTAATTTCCTTTCCAAGAAATTCTGTCTTGTGTAACCGAATTTTAACCTCAGCTGCTGATAAAGGATTGCTGAAGTTTAGCCTTATTCTTTTAAAACTCTTGAAATAATGAAAGGTGACATCTTTGTCAAATGTTCTAAACAGAGCTTCAAATCTGCCCTGAAAAATAAACATGTCAACAGTTAACAAGAATACAGCATTTATGCCTATCACTTATTGATCTATAAACAAAGATAGAAGTATTTCAAGACAGTTTCGCTTTCTGAAGTAAGTACAATTCATAAATAATGCATCTACAAACCAAAACACAAGCACATTTTCTGCATACTTGGGCTCTTATGCCTCTAAAGTTTTGAGTACAGCTACCAAGACCTTGCCCAATTGTTACTGAGTTATAATTTTTAATGGTTAATAACTGCATGGTACTTTAATTAAATAGAAATCCAGATAAAAACAAATGTAATGATCCAGCTCTCTCTCACTGTTAAAATCTCTTTTTAACCCTTTTGTTGTCGCGTGCCGAAAACGTGTGCACACAATTATATGCAATGCGCGTGTAGCCCCCCACACTCCCCCACCCCGTGCATGCACATTCAACACCCTGTGCTCCCCCACCCCGCACATGTGCATACGACCGCTGCGCATGCACATGACTCGAAAACCAGTTGGCGGCGGTAGGCACGTGTGCATGCATGGTGGAGTTGAGTTAGGGCAATGGCTCGTGTGCCCACAGAGGGGGCTCTGTGTGCCACCTGTGGCACGCATGCCATAGGTTCGTCATCACGGCTCTATACTTTATTTCCAAAATGCTTATGTGACAGCTTGCTAGTGCTCCCAGGAAGGTTCATTCCCTCTTCCTCTCCACTTGCCTGTATGTCTGGTAGCGTTAACCTCCAACCCCACCCCAAATTTCCCTTGCTATATATATTAGTGCAAAGAAGACCCATGTTCTCAAGATAGATTCAGTTTGGAGTGGCAAAGAAAAAGAAAAAGTTACACGATAATCTTCTGGAAGGGGCAACTGAGGAGCAGCTCAAAATTCTGTGACTATCCCATTCTAAGGTTCCCTCTCCCTTCTGGTCACGTGACTCAGAGCATATGCTCCCTGCCCTGTGGTTTTCAATGCATACATGGGCAAAAACAGCAGACACAACACAACAGGAAAGCAGAAACACATATGGATATAACACAATACAATGATGTATAGAAGGAGGACTGGGAAAAATCTAAGAAGCCATGTTCTTCATAATTTCCCTACTTTGTTTTCTCTTAAGAATATTTTGATCAGTACTAAACTGCACACACCTTTGTTTTAACTAGGTAAAGGCATCCTTTATTTCTATATAGAAATATAGCACCCCCAGTGGCAGGTTTCTATTCTAATTATACATGAACATTGATAAGGTATGGACTACTACATACAAACCTAACCAGAATGCAGAGAAAAGACTGAAAATTGCATAAAGACACTTCTTTTCTTATAAACTAGTGACTCTACAACTCATGCATAACATATTTTTGTTTGTTTATTTTTAAACTGTTACAGTTGCAGAGTAGGGAACAGATCACATTCAGAATCACTTGGAGGAATCCTCCAATTATGTTATCCATAGTAGCAATAGCAATAGCACTTAGGACTTATATACTGCTTCACAATGCTTTTGCAACCCTCCCTAAGCGGTTTACAGAGTCAGCATATTGCCCCCAACAAGTTGGGTCCTCATTTTACCAACCTCGGAAGGATGGAAGGTTGAGTCAACCTTGAGCTGCTCAGAATTGAATTTCTAGAGTGAGCAGTGAGTTAGCCTGTAGTACTGCATTCTAATCATTGTGCGACCATGGCTCTTACAGTATCAGAATAGACAAAGGCTATACGATTATCCCATGACTTAGCATAGACCACAAAAATCACCCCATAAACTATTGGATTAAATTGAAATATTTTAATTTTTAATCTTGGGGTAGCCTGAAGAATGGGACAATAAGGCAACATATATACTGATATTATTAAATACTACTACTATCAATACAATTGCTCAATGTCCTTTGGAAGATTATCTGTTTGGCAGGGCTGCAAATTTTATCTATATCATCCAATTCAAAGGACAGTTATTTCAAAAACAGTAACTAAAATGTAAAATTTAAATAGGAGCTACTTAACCTATACTGAATGTGTTACTGACATAGACTTTAACAGATCTATGAAAAATGTTTAACAGATATATTTCTGTCACCATCATCCTGTTCCAGGAAAATCAGCATCAACTACAGAGGTAGCTAGCTGCTTCTTACATAATCAGAACATCTAACTCACACTTTCTCTTTCCAAGTCATCCCTTGGATGAAAATTATATGCTATTTTATTGACCCTCTTCTTGCTTGCTGTGCAGCTATAGCCACACCTATAGGATGGTTCTTGCAAGAAGATGGTAATGCTGTTTTGGTTGTATGAGCAACTCTATAGAAACTATATAGCACATCCTAATAATATGTGACAATATAAGAAATATGCAAAACTAGTAGATGAAGAAGATGCAGGGTAAAACTTGATATAGTTTAATGAGGATACTGGGTGCTTCAATATCTGAAGTCTGTATTTAAAAAGAACTTCATAAATACAACAGTTTCTCGCCCTCCAAAATATAACTTTTACTAGTCTGTCTTTATATAAATAAATCTGCCAACAACTACCTTTCCTACTGAGGCACTGCTATTGGAATAGCCATTAGAAATGTTAAGCACACATCCAACCCACATTTATGTTTTCAAGATTAATAAAAATAGTTGCTATCTTTACAATTTATAGTGAAGAACTAGGAGTGGAATTTAAAAGGAGAAAGCATTTTTATACGTTACTTTTTATTCACCAGCAGGAGCAAAATATAATTATCTCAGTTTAGCTAACCTGAAAAATTAACCAGTAACTGAATGATTAGGATTTTAAAAATATTATAGCTGATAAATAAATATTCAAATCAACAATAAAATTATTAACATGGAAGAGATTATTTAATTGTATCTAAAATAATCATTGTAATTGTTTTAGTAATTATTTTATTTTATTTTAGAATTATTATAATTATTTTAGCATTTAAATGAAAATTTGAACACTAAAATATTCAGGAAAATGCAAGGTTTTCCTTTACAACTACAGCTATTTGAGGTCCAAGGAATGTAGAAATAGATGAAAGACAAATACAGCATAGAGTAAAATATTGGAACTGAAACAGAATATAACATAAAATATGGAAAAATTAACAACTAAAAAGATTACAATGCTAACCTAATGAAAATGTTTAATTCAAAAAATACTGTTCTTGTATATGCTAAAAACCTCGAGTTATAATTAGAAAGCATCACTTACTTTTATGTCCCTAGATAAATGTACATTTCTGCTGGAATTTGGGAAGTTGAAGAATTTTTAATATTAGTAGGCTACCAATCTATGACAATGAGAATATATCCCATGGAATTCGTAGATAGATAGACTGTTAATCTTTATTTCTTCTATTCCAGTTATTTGTATGGTGCCAACTAATATTGTTGCATTCCCAACACACTCAGAAGCATTTTGTGCATAACCAATGATAGCATTAAAGTTGTTAGAAATACTCGAGAGCTTGCAAATAATTAACAAAATATTTTAAGAGTGTTTACGATCTTGCAAACTAATAACACACAAAAACATCAAAGGAACATCAGCTTCTTTACCTTAAAATGTTAACAATGCATCTGTTATTTTGCTTCACTCTCTAACCAATTCAATATTCTCAACACACTCACTTTTCTCAGTATGCAATATAAAGCTTTCCCTAAAGCAGTTTTTACATCCAAAAGTCTTACCCTAATTTCAGGTTGACTGAAAATCTTGTGGTCCGCAACACAAGCAATCAAGGAACCAAAAATGTAATCAAAGTTCCTGAAATGCATTTTTTGCTTTCTTGTAAAGATTGCCAGGAGCTCAGCACACAACCAAGAAAAGCTCTTTTCGAAGAAGCAGTTCAGTACTGGAAAGACAGCTTATAAAAGAGACCAAGTCCAGCCCCTCAGCAGGCACAAAAAAACCCAACACCCCAAGTTTTAGAGCATCCTGTATGTGACAGCAAATTCCTGAGCAAAGTTCTGCCACATAGTTTCAGGCTATCAGGGACAAAATGTAAGCTTCAGCTGGAAAGAGGTGACGTAAGCATGTTAGTCAGTTTCCCTATGCTAATTAACTTTGCTCTGGAGTATGGAAAAATCAGCTGAGGTTTTCATAGGCAGCTGCTTTATCAACTCCTCTTGCAGCATAGTTTCCATTGCTAGTAACTCCATTTAGCACTCGGACAACATACTCTTCACTTGAATAGGACAACCCATTTTAAGATGGAAAAAGTTGCTATTTGAGGACTAAGGTTAGCTGCAATAAACAGTAATTAGCTGGCAGGAAATATTTCAAGACTTTGGAAAACCAAGAACAAATCTTAGTCACAATGCAGTCAAAGCCTATATACTTACTCAGAATTCAGAATTCCGTCCCATGGGTCTTAATGAAACAAATATAGCACTCCTAAACTTTTATTTTCCATGACTGAAAATAAAATGACTAGTTCCATGACTAGTTTTAAAATGAATTCTAGGAAAAGAAATCAGTTCAAGTGTATGCTGGCTCTTTTGTGGCTAAGAGCATCATTTTTCTTTTAAGTTACTGGCCCAATACCATCCAATGAAGCCTGGGGTCAAGTGCAGGGGGCCCCAAACCCTGGGCACCAGTTTGCGGCATACCAGAAACTGGGCCACAGAATCAAGTGAGCCCCCATCCGCAGGATGCAGGCAGCACATGAAACCACATCCCCTCCGATGTGCAGAAAAGCTCTCTCCGCTGAACTGGTCCCTGGTGTCCAAAAGGTTGGGGCCGCTGGTCAAATGGAAACTTATCTGTACATCTGTCACTCCAACACTTTAACTACTACAATTACTATTCCATACCCTTTCACTGTGGTGAAAAACAGAGGAATGTTTCACTTGCTTTTAAATCACCTCATATATTCCTGTCCAATTATTAAAAGGTGAAGATTTTACGCTGTTGAAGCATTCAAATACTCTTCATTATATGCAAGAAATTTAAGATGAAGGGAAAGTCTTGCATTCCATCAGCTTTAATCAACATCAGCTTTAATTAAGATCATGTTAAAGCTTTCAATACCGGATTTAGATTACTGTTGTGAAATAAGTAGACAAATGTAAGATGCTCGCCCATTTAAAAGTAAGGCAAATGAATTTGGGTGGAGATCCTCTTCGGTTGGATACAAATGAATTTTGGCAAATTATCAATTATGTCTATTGTATTTCATCTAAATATTTCATATAACCCAGGTTTAGAGTCCACAAGTCCAGCAGACCTTTTAATTCTTCTGCATCACAGATTGATTGAAGGGCAGATATTACCTTATTGAAGAAACAAACTTGCCTGTTTAAATTTCAGGTCTGTTAACTCTAGAGACACAAATCTTAGAATATATGATTAAGAAAAAAAGTTACAGCTTTTACTGAATGCCTTATTTTTATCCTCCTACACTTCTGATAATTATCTTCATACATTGCACTTTAAACCCAAACATTCATGGCATGTTAATTCATGTTTCTCTGAGAACATTTTCCATCCCTATTCTTGTTATTCGAGTTTACTTAGGAAAAAACAATCACAATTTTAAGGTGTACTTGATGAAGTAGACAAACTACAAAAATGAGCCTTACTAAAAGGAAAAAAGTCACTTACAAATAACTTATTAAATACTATAAAATCTACCTAAACTTTCTCTAGAAAAATTTCAAAATTGAAAGACTCTCACCCAAAACGTCTTGCCTATTTTTATTATATTAAGCCTAAGCATGTGTGTGCGTGTGTGCACGCACACACATATACATATATATAGCTAGTACCTATTTTATTTCACTAGCCTTGCAGTTTTTTGCTGACAAGTCCTTTGATCTACTGTGGAGAATATCAGATTTTGGGATTGGAGAAGGCATTTGTTATTAGAGGAATCGTGCAATACAGAATCTATTACTTGAAATTGTTTTTCATTAGATAGCCACAGCATGCTATTTTCAGAATTAACCTAAAACCATAATTTCAAAAATGAAAGATAAATTACTTTTAATTAGCATGATCTTCAAATTGTACACTTTGAGCTTTATTGCAAATATTAATTTAATTTATGCTTCCCCACGAATGGCTAGAAATTACCTAGAGAGCTAAGAAAATAATATTTATTCTCCCTCTCTAAACTCATCCCAATATATACTAACACTACAGTTTATTAAAGCGTTATTGGACTCAAAAGCAGAAAAGCTTTTTTGAATCCAAATCTATGTTTCCCCATTTTCTTTCCCTTTTCTACATATTACTTTATGGAATGCATTTTTTCCATCTTTGATTTATATTTGACCCTAACAAAGGTTTTGCAGTGATTAGTTAACAAAATCATAAGTAATGTATCTTTCAAATAAAGTTTTAAACATTTTTGTGGGCTGTATGTTTTACTTTTTATGTATTTATACATGGAGAGCAGTAAATCTGATTTGGGTATTCTCTTAATGCAGCAGTTTAGTTGAATTACACTTCTTTCCTGTTTCCTGTCCAGCAATTTGTAATTAGTAGTTAGAACCATTAAAATCAGGGCTACTGCCCTTTGAAAACAAATGAGCTAATAATCAACCCTAACCCTAAATTCACAAGTGCCATTTCATTTTATTTATTACATTTATATTTTAAATCAGAAAAGAAAATTGTGACATTCTTTAGAGTTTTTAGGTTTAATTTTTCCATATTTTTTCAAACCCTGAAATAAAGGCCTCTTCTCTGAATCCTCTCAAACATAATATTGCAGGTGGACATTATAGTTTTCTTAGCTTTGGCTCATCAGCTGTCCTCTGCTTTCCCAAGAAGCTAACCTTATGCCTACCTTAATATACCTTCAAAACCAGGCAAATATCCTTTATTTTTTATTATTTCAGGCTTTATAAGCTTTAATTCTTTTACTATTCTATGCTGTTTCAATAACAAGAATAGCAAAAATTGAATTTCAAATATTTATGCATTAAAATAAAGTTACTTTTTCTAGATTTTGTTTGAGTTTGGAGGAAGATTTAAAAAACAATAGCTATAAATTTCATGGAAAAACATTGCAAATAATTCATCGTAAGTTCCATTTATTTTCCTGACCCAGCTGATAAATAGGTCCCACTTATCAAATCTAGATTGATTAACTTTATATGGCATTACACTGTGCTCTGGCATTTCTTTAATTCTCAGTTGTAGATTGATAGTTAATTTTTTATTATTGCTATCTACATTTTTAAATTGATTTGGAAGCCACCATAACAAATACAGTTTTTCAAAACCCAGCATATCAAATAAAATAACCATCAATACCTTTCCCCCAAAAAGGTTACTTAAATAAACAAATCTTTTAGTTCCTGGAAAAAGTGAGCTGTCAGTTCCACTGGTGGCTTCTAAAATTTCGCAATGATTATTATTAAAATCCTTCATCTAGACTACTGCTGTTTGTACCTACCAAAAGATGGCATTAGCAAAAAAGTCTACAACAACAACAACAACAACAACAACAATCAACAGCAGCAGCATAGGTGGTCATTGAGATAAAAAAATAAAGAGAAACTTTGAAGGTTAAAACAGTAGTGAGAACATGGTCTGGAAGAAATAGATAACTAGTTTAATTAGCACAAAACATCCTGAATTTTGTTCTATACCAGCCCTTCTACCGGAATTACTCTTAAGAGCAATTCCACAAAGAGAAATAAAAAGCTAGGAACCTATTGTTACATGAATCACAATAGAAAAGTCCAAAATGAATGAATCTAACATTAAAAAAAGATTTGATTCCAACCAGATTTTTCAAACTTTGCACTAGAACAAGCAATATTCACAGAATTTAATCTTATTAGAAGACAACTGAGGTAGCAAATGTTCTCTGAACCACAACAGTTCAAAACAAAATATCAGCCTTCTTTAACATACTTAGTTCAAATCAAGGATTCATGTTTTTCATCAGAATTATCACTGTGAATTCATCACGGATTTGGTCCACTTACATTCATGGAAACAAGATTTCACCATATAGAAATATTCTTTTAAATAAAAGAGCCATATAGCCAAATAGCTTGGTAGAAGCTTCAGTTGTTGCTTGACTACTCTCCCAACATACCTTATAATTGGTCAATTTGATCTTCCAAAAATAAAGTTCAGAATCAACTAAAGGGCCAATTTTGATATAGATATTAAACTGCGGAAGTAATGGCATTGAGATGCAAGCATGCAGTCACCAGAAGCTGAGCCTAGCTCAAGGACACCTAATTAGGGAAATGCTTGGGAAAAGAGAAAAGAAAGCCTTCATATACACCAACCATGGTCTACCTATCCCATCTTCATTTTGCTTCATATGAAATTTGGAACAACTAAAGTATTCTGGGGTTTGGTAAACCCAGAATGGTATGGCAGAGTATACCTGAATGTATGTTTCATTAAAATGAATAAAGTCAATTGTTGAGAAGGGTTGTGTTGTGTATATATCCCTTTGAGTCAGTCTTGATTCTGGTGGCTAAATGAACAAATCCATACAGGTTTTTTTGCAAGATTTTTGGAAGTGGTTTGCTGTTGTTTTCTTCCTAGGGCTGTGACAATATGATTGGGCCAAAGTTACCCAGCTAGCTTCATGGCCAAGACTGAACTAGAACTCATGACTGCCCAATTACTAGTTTGGTGCTTTAACCACTACACTAAATTTGAGTTCTAGAAGTGTAGCAGTTGATCCATAAATCCAGACATTTAAATAAATAGCCCCAGAAGCTTTTTATCTCATGTTCTTAAAAATAGCTCCACACAATTTTCCTAGGTTAATTAATAACCAAACCTGTTTGTGCTTTCCTTTACACTCATAAATGTTTCCTGTTTGAGGAAAAACTTAAAGCATGGCAAGCTGTATGGATTGCTGGAAAATTATAATAAATTGGAAAGTTGGCCAATAACTTGTGAACAGCCTTTTTAAATGAGTCACCTGAATGGCATAATACTATGGAAAGTCTCTGTTTCCTGATAACAACAGAATGGCAAATCACTTTCCGTATGTGCTTTACAATATATTCCAGTTTCCAGACATCTTGGAAATCTTCTCATACAAATTGCTCTTTCTATGGAAAAACCATGAAATATTTCCTTGAAGACCATTCAAATTATATGCGAGTTGTAGTTTTAATTACAAATTCTCCAAGGTATTAACCAGAGACTGCATTATTCCCAACATAATAGCTACTTTTTCCATTATTCATTGTTAATTTTTGTGGTAATGTAGGTGTGTTTTGCCTTTTACATATTGATATTTACAATTAGCACTCTGAACTACAACTAGCAGCTGACAGGCAGCCGATGCAATTCCTGAAGATGCATATTCGTTGCTGGGGATATTGGAACACATTCCTCATTTCATGGATCAATACTTTGTAATTTCCAGGGGTGGACTGCTGGA